AAGTTCCCGGAACCAGAAAACCCTGCAACCCATGCGCTGCCACTCCATAGAAATCAATTGTCAATATTGTTCTGGTTGTAAATCTGATTCGTGGCGCAACCTAGTGCTGTGTCACTCACACCACAAGACCTTTCTGCCGATCTCACTGCATTTCATATTCGAATCAAGAATCATTCACGTACCTTATTAGGAGTGACACCATCCTCCATAAGGAATCGTTCTGGACGGAACTCGTGCCCATCTTTGAACACAGGCGAGTGAGCGAGAATTTGATGAATTTCGCCGAGCACATGGGTGTCTGCAGGAATTTTTACTCCCTTCACGGAAGTGTCCCTCACAGTTCGATGAACGACATTCATGGGAAGAATATTAGCCCATCGTTGGATTTCCTGGATTGTCGCACTGAAAACATTTCACTACTGTAAAGAAATTGTTAGCAGCAAGATTATTTTTTGTAATATTCGAAATTTTAACAATCAATAATCAGTGTTGGGGAAGAGTTAAAATACGTTGAAGCTCTACTTCTTACTAGACTGCTCGCATTATATCAGGCTTCTAATAATTCTTTGTGGCTTGGTTCTGAAGAGGTCAATCTAGATCGCAACTTCATTACAGGCGATATGTCTCCATCCAAAAATTCAGTCCTAAATCTAAGAAATTTTAGCGCGAGTACCCTATGGAGCTATTCCATGGTCTTTTATAGGGTAGAAACGTGAGTTACGGTGGAACGCCAAATGATAAATACCTGAAAAGACTAAATTCTACTCCAATACTCTGTATTTTAAAGTTGTTGAGTTCACTACAGTCCATTATTTTTGTTACTAAAAGCTGAAAACCGATCCACTCCAAACTCACTTGGTATAAGGCATTTTCTGTCTGTCCGATGAAGTTGGCTTGCCTTCTGGACCAACGACTCTCAGAATCTCTTCACGCACTTTTTCCTAGAATGAACCTAACTTTTACTAAGAAGTTCCCTACCATAGAATGGATGTCTCCGAATATCGGCAAGCAAGAAAACCGAGATGACCTTTGAGTAGTTTGAAATGATTATCACAAATACAATTACCACTACAACTGCAATAACATAATATTTATAAACAGTACGGGAAGTCCTTCATTATTTCCCTTCGCCCCCGGATTTTTTTATTCTCAATGATAGTTGCATTGAGGTAACACAAAGAAAAGACGGCCACCATGTTTCCCCTCACTCTCTGACATCATCGGTCATTGTGAGAGTAATTGTTGTTGAGGTGATGCGGAGATTACATCGATTTTTCTCTTTTTTTAGCAACATTTAGAAGTTGCGTAGTTTACGGTAATGTTTTGTGAGTGGGTGTTTTACCTGCTCTTCCGGGTGAGTAGCAAACAACAATGTAGCCCATCTGAGCGTTGTGGTAGTCGTCTCCATACCAGCTGTGTAGAAGTCCATACATACATTAAGCAGATTGTCATAGCTGAAATTCGAAATCCTACTCAGCCAGTTACTAATGTTTACAGGATGTGAGATACGGTAGGTATGGTGGGTTGATTCATCACAAGGATATATGGCTGCAGTAACTGGTAGTGGTTTGCCGTGTTACAGCCGTAAAATGGCCCTTACCGTGGTAGACCCTTGCTGAACGTAGTTTACGTAAAGTTTGTGGTATTGTGGGTGTACAAACTTCTTAATCCTTTCTAGAAACTCGAGTTTTAAAGGCGAATATAAAATGGTAGTGACGAATTTCTTCTGCACCGGAAAAGTCCGCCCATCTTGGCTTAAGTAACCTTGAGAGCAATGTTCAAGCCGAAGGTATGTGTAGGAGTCCCAAAACGACTGATTTTTATCATGACTGCTAGCTAAATCAACTCGGAGATAAGGAGCCAAGTGGCATCGTCACAGCACGGAACGAATACCATACGTGCGATTATATGGGATTGATAAGCGCCTACGCTAACCGTGAGTTCCCTTGCTCTGGGGTCCGTTCATTGGCACCAAACAAGTCGGGGGACGGCTCATTTACAACTCAGGAAAAAGCACTGAGTAATGTAAATGATCCATTTACAGGAAGTCATTGTGGGGGCTACATATAAATGCAAAGCGACACTAAAAGCCCAAATGCCGGGGTGATCTTAAAAAATCGGATTGATAAACGCTATACCTCGTGTAATTGATATCAACTCACTTCAAAAGAGGATTGCTTTGCATCCTTTGATAGTAGGCTTGTACCAGACATTCAGGCTCCTGATCCACTGTATATGATTCCAATGCCCGCGCCACATCTTCTCTGATAGTTCGACGGAGCTACAAAGAAGAAAGGTGAGACGAAAGTTCCTTTATAAATGGCCCATTAACAACAGCAAGTCACAGCACACTTACTCCAGCAGTCATGTCTACGAATCGTCCTTTAGCCATGTGTCCGATAACTGGTAGACGATAGATGATTGGAAAAAACTGGCCAAGGAATATCAGTGGGCTTCCTCTGTAAGCATAGAGGCTTTGAAATTCCAAAGTTCTCAAACCCAATTAGTGAATCAAGGTGATGGAAGCATGCCATATCGGAAATGAACGTTTTGACGGAGTGATTCCTTACAGCTCTCGTGACACTCGAATTATACCCATATATTCTTAGTCTTATAGAAAGTCGTGTACCACAAAAAAGCTATATGACGAAGATTTCTTCTGTGAATGAGACTTTGATTCAAATTTCGCCGCTGGATTTCAAGTCAATTTCTGAGACTATTTAGGTGTTCCACTTCAAGTTTTCAAAAAGCAAATGGGTAGGAATTTCCTATAAACTTTTCGCTAATAGGCAATCTATAAGTTGTGCAAAGCACTCACTTCATTCCTTCTATTAAGGCATTGAGTTCTTTAGCTGCTTTCATCATCCGATCACTTTTATCGTATTCGTAACTGAAGCCATACAAGGTCTTGTTGATGATGTTCCCTATGAAAACCTGTAAATGGCTCCTTCTTTTACTTTCAAGATTCTTCAAAGCAGAATTTAACATTTTTCTAAAGTGGTTTATAGTGATCCCTCAGTACAAGTTGAAAAAGGGCACCACCTGAATCGGTTCACGGAGACAAATCTCGTCTTTGTTCTTGATGGAGGACAGGTGGGCAAGGAAATCTTGGGCAGAAAGCAGAACCTGAAATTCAATTCAAGTTGAAGTCTTTACCTGATCGACTCTGGATCATTTTTATGGCAATGCGTTTCGATCTGTTTCACGGAACTAGCGACCGTGATTCAACTAGGTCGGTAACTAATAGACATGAGTTGCACCCCTGTTACCCTCCCCTTTTGGATGTGTTCCTCCTTCCTTTTCTCTTTCTTTCTCTTATGGAGCCGCCCAATACTACAAAATCACAGTTCACAATTCGCTTCTAGCAAAACTTTACTTCACAAATTAAATTCACAATAAAACTACAACACTATATCTCATTCAACATACTAGTAGATAAGAGGGCCTCTTTAAGTTAGCACTTCCACAAGGTAAGGAAGTCCTGATACCTCATTCATTCGTTTTCAGATTTTTTTCTTATTTTCTTCTCAGATGCCATACTCAGACGTGCTGGACTTTTTAGAAATATACCTGACAACAGGTATTACGCTCAATTACTCTCTATTTCATACACACCCAAGTCAGTACCTGTTCTTCCATCAAATTCTTTCCCATTCCAAAATCTCTGAGAATGTGTAGCGATGCTCGACGCTGTTCTCTCCAGTTTTCGCCCTGAATAACGAAAGCAATGACTAGTTAGTCAACTTATAATAATGATGTATAATAAAGTTTTGAAGGATAAAGTTTTTGGCGTTAATCAATCCCGTCTGAGGAATGCGCCCCCGCACCCGACTTCCATTCAGAATCGTAGTGGCGTAATGAGTGCGTATGTGGCCTATGCAATGACTTGTGGTGGCCAGTCGATGTACAAGTCTGTGCTTTTATCCTCCCAGACGAGTCTGGTACCAATTCTCCGACCCCGGAGGGATGGAAGGCTTGGTTGGTCCAGGCGGGCATCGAACCGGGATTCGAACCCCTGACCGTGCGTGTGATATAGTGCGCCACTTGCCACTACACCACCTCCGCCCATGATGTATAATAACTAATAAATAATGAAAAATTATATTAGTTACATAACACGTCTGCAAATGTTATAATGCTCTTGTAGTGTACAAAGGATAAG